AAATAAATATGTAAAATTATATAATTTATATTATTTTTATTTTTATTTTAATTTTAATATTATTAGTTTAATGTAATTAAATTGAATGTTTTAAAATTTAAAATTTTCAAAATAAAGAATCAATAGGTTATTAAGTGTTATACATTAATTATAATACATAATAAGGTTACATATGACCAAAAAAAATATACGTTAATTATAAGTTCTAACATAATAACACATGTTAATACAAACTATTCTTTTATCATAATACAGAAGATGATAATAATAATAATAATAATAATAATAATAATAATAATAATAATAATAATAATAATATTTTTGTAATTATGATATTATTCTAAATCACATTATATCATAACACGTCAAAAATAAAATATTAGTCTAGATTTAGACCGGAAAGTATTTGTTGGATATTTTCATGTAAATTAGTTCTCATGAACTTGACAGGGGAGGGTCCCAAATAACCGCCAAAATTATTGTGCTTCTTAGAAATTTCGAAAGTCGCGATCAAACATTATATATTTCTTAAAACACCTAACATTTCTTTGCTATTTGGTGTTATAGTATAATTTCCCTATTAAATGAAATTCAACGTTAAAACATACGAAATTATGCAATTTCAAAATTTTGAAATATAATGAGGAAAATATATGTACGTTAAAAAGGAAATATGACCGGCAGGTGCAACAGAAAAGAAACACCGGCGACAATCACTCTCTGGCCAATGCCACCATCTTATTCTTCCAAAACGTTGTCCGGCACGTTGTAATGACAAAGATTGGGTTTTGGTTCAATACCCAAATAAACGGACTAACCACTTTATAATTCGGATACATGGTTTGGTTCAATCAGTTTACCCGTTTTATTATCGGTCCGGGTTAATTAGGGTAGGAAATATATTTTTGGGTATGCTTTAATACCTGATGAGGATTTTAAAAACAAAACCCATGTTGACACTATAGAGGTGCCAAAAGCCAAAACGCGGATATCATGTTACCAAAACCCTCCCTTGAGAAATAAATTAAGAGGAATGTTGAAAACAAATATAGTCGAATCAATGAGTGATCGATTAAGAAAAGTATTTGGAAGAAATTGTTGAAGATCATATTCATCAATGTTAATTATTTTATAATGGTGGAAACCCTAGATTCCCGATCCAATCCTTAGATCATACATGTTTGAACGGTAGCTTTGCAATCGATTTTTAGTACTGGTGGAAGAGTTTTTGATCCGTTTAATAGTTGTTTGACTCCTAAGGTTTTGCACCTAACATTGATTCTAGGGTAGTGTAAGTGACAAACATTAGCGTGAAAAAGATTGTGAAACAATGTAAGAAATTTACAAAGATAGTTGTGAAACAATGTAAGAAATTTATAAAGATAATTGTTCATCGATAATTTTTTATTGTTTGGACATGTTATATTTTTTCCTTTTTTATGGTTTATAGTGTTTTATTTTTTATACGTAATAAAGAAACTTTGGTACATATACGTAGATCTTGGATTTGATATTACCATGAAGGTGGCATGGTAAAGGTGCAATAAGAATGTGTATATTTAGTGATGCTCTACACATTTTAGGTGTTTAGGAACCTGATACGTGTTAATTTTTGGATATTTAAAAGAAGTTTAACAATCTTTTATGGGATTTTCGAATTAGATACATTTTGCACTTATAATTCTGATTTCATCACAAATTAAAGTTTGGGTTAAGACTTTTACTATTTTCTCGAGTTCCTCGTGTAACATGAGTCCTACAAAAATATTTTGTTCCAGAAACAATAATCCATAAGTTACATAAACCATAGTAAATAAAATACTAAAAAAAAGTGAAGTACATCTTCTAGCCTATTCAAAAAAAAAAAAACCTTTTCCAATGACTGAGCCTTCAAAACATTTGAACCTGCACTTTAAATACATGTTATTTAAACAAATTATACAATACGAAAATGTCTCGTGACAATAATAGTTTAAATGCTTTTAACAAACTCATTTACTTTAACAGAAATCATACAAGACAATATGTACGCTATACATGATTACATTTTAATGAAATAGCTGATGAACCATCCCACATCATTGTTTCATTTATTTATTGAGTTAATGGTTACATATTGCATAATGGGTAGATATATAAAGGACCATGTTACGTTTGGTGACACTTTACAAAAACTTACCAAAATAAGAGGAATAAATCAACTTATCATGAAATCAAGCTCAAAAGATGTGTACTTCACAATGGAAGGTACCATACCAATAATGTTTTTCAAATTCATAATTAAGACATCATGTATATAGAAAATTATATTTTACTATATCTATTATTCAAGTAATATTCATGTATACATGCTCAATAATTATTTTTTATGCAAGTCAATCACACACAAGTGTCATCATATGCATAGGCTAGAACAAAAGCTTTAAAAACTAGAAGACATTCTCATTCTTTACATAAAAATCATGACACATAAAAATGAATATGTTCAAACAAGGATCATATAACATGCTTTGTCATTTCCAAACATTTGAACATGTGTATCACATACTCTTGAAAAAGTAAACACTTAGCCAAAACACTTCTATATACTTTCACAAATAAGATCAAATTCTCAAAAACCTTTCTTATTTTTCCATGTACACCATAGAGGGGAGATCCTCATGTACTCACCTTATTGGTTAGGTTAACTAAATATAATTTCCATTATTATCTTTTACTTATAGTTTTCCTTATTTTAGTAGGATAAAATAGCTTCTAAAAGATAAAAATCATGTTTAAAGCAATAAAAAATTGAATACATGAAGGTAAAAAAGATATGGCTTTCATTTAGAGAATACAAATTCTTTATGATATTGATCATAAGAGCATTAGAGAAAGGTATCCTATTTATCTAAGTGGCGTGCCTTATATATAGGTTCATACATAGGGAGTGGTTTAGAGATGAACCAATTGTTGGATTAGTGTCTAAGCTTGTAACCAAATTTGGTAAGTACTTGACCCGGTTGTATATGGTCTTTTTAAGTTGCCTTCACCAAAGCAACTTGACTAGAGAAATAATAGAGAAAGAGGTTATTATGGTTTATTAATATATTATAAGAATAATATATTAAAAGAGAAATCATATTTGTTTAGTTAACATTGGTCAACAATTAATTAAGAATTAACTTTGTGATCAAAAGAAGTTAACTGAAATAGGGGGACTGAACTGTAATTATGTGATAGTTGCAAAGTAGGGCAAAGGATGCCCTACATGATAGGGTGGAAAAATTCAAGGAGATAAGACCTTAGAATTCATCCATGATAAGGTTTCTAGGGTTAACCTTTGGACTGCTTGGTGGGTAAGTAATCAAATAAGGATAATGACTGAAACCCTAATTCATACACCTATATAATGACCCCTTGGCATAGGAAAATCGGCCACTTGCTCCTAGAAGTTCCTAGAGCCGATTTTCTGCCTCTCTCTTTCTCTCTCTCTCTCTCTCTTATCTCTCTCTCTCTCTCTCCCTCTCTCTCTCTCTCTCTTGCTTCTTCAATTTCTCTTGGTGTTTGTGAGCCATTTGCGGTACTACACTTGTGGTACTTGTTTTCAAAGACAAGAACATTCAAGATACAAGTTGTTATTACATCATAACAACAAGAGGTATGTCTTCCATCCTCCTTTATGAATTTCGAAATTACCTAGGACCATGTTAGGATTCTTTTGTGTTCATAATGTTGTGTAACTAATAGTGAAAACATGGATCCATATGTAGGGTTGCATGCATACATATATAGTGATAGCCTGTATAATAGTTGAGCTCTTATCACTACGAAACCTAGGTTAGCAAAAGAAGAAATTGCACATACATTCGAATCATTAAATTGAAGTCTTAAATTATATCAATAACGTAACGTTTTGCATAAAAACTTAAACACAACACATATACATTTTAAATCCTAACAACGTCCCCTTTGGGTTGAGTTTAAAAAGAAGTATTCTCTTGATCTCATCGAAAACCATAGGAGAATAGCCAAGATTCATTCTTCGAACCGACAACCACCAATGCAACATGTCAGAAACCTGCTTGATCTCATTCTATGAATTCATCTTGCAAATTTCATATTTTGCAAGAATGGAACTCAGAGTCCCAAACTTATAGTCGTGCTTATCCTATAAGTACCTCATGTGATTCTTCAACACTTTTTTAATTAATCACAAACTTATATACCACACCACATGGTTCCTTCTGAACTTGCCCATCTCTCATACATTCAATACCTCCTGGTTAATCACAAGGACCAACAATAGTCTTCTTCTTTAAGAACTCATCCATTTCCACATCCATCTTACAAAGCCCCAAGAAATAAAATCTTATCATCTTCTTCAAATGTAAGACCTGATTTTTGTACTTAATCTTGTCCTTTGATAAGATAGTGAATAACAGGAACCAGTCATATGAATTCATCAATGGAACATTAGCAAAAGAAAATATGCACCCTTATTGTTTCTCCCTCATAAGGCTTTGAATTTATAATTCACAAATTCATCTTTCACTTCTTTAGCTTCGCATTCTCGAATGGCTGAAATTTTCTTCAACCTTCATATTTCCTATTGGGGCCTATGCTGTGAAGCATAGAACCCAAAAAGTTCTTTTTCATAATACCATTGTTCAATGCAACACCAACAATATTCAGTAAACATCTCAACATAAAACGCCTTCACAGTAATAGAGAAATCCAATTGATAATAAACATTGTTTTCCAAAACAAACGATAAAGGTGGATTGAGCCAGTATATCTCGGTATTTTTATAGCATCATTATACATTTTATCAACATTCCACTCACGCCAAAGTGCTTTCTTCATAAGTTCAACTACCTTCTTTTCTCTTTCTTCTGCTTCTTTCGCCTTGCACCTTGTTTCTAATTGTTTTATATTTTCAAGCTCCCCATCAGTCTTTGGTGGTTCATCATACTTTGGTTTTTCATCTTCAAGATTAACCTCTTGTTGAGTCATAATCTTTAGAGTGCTAGATCCTGAAGCTTTGGTAAAACAATTGGAACAACAACCTCAAATTGCTTTCCCAAAGGATTATAAACAATAACAATCTTCTTCGGAACTTCAAGCTTCTTTTCCATAGTTTGCCCCAAAGGATTATAAACAATAACAATCTTCTTCGGAAATTCAAGCTTCCTTTCCATAGTTTGCACCACATACGGGTTCTCAATATTGATAAAATTACCCCCACCTATCCCTTGTTGCAAACTAGCATCACTATTTGTAACACCTTCAATAATAGAAAGCTTTAAGAACATGGGTTGAAGCTTTGCATCCAATAAAGAAAAAATATAGTCAACATGTGATGCATCCTTTGCTTTAATAATTTTTACCAACATTTTATTTATCTCAAAGTTGAAACCCTTCACCAAAAACATCTCATCATCTATTTTTACTAGCTCAGATTTCACAAACATTAATTCTCGTTTGACCGATTTAATTTGCGTTTCTTTTCGTGCATGTTCATGTGCTATTTTAGCTTCAGTATCATAACACTTAACAAAAGTATTTATGGAACTCAATGAATTTTGAATTGTAAAATATATTGTAAGACAAAATAATAGAATTAAACTCCTTTACTTCATTGGTTTCTACTTCCATCTTCATAGCATGCTCTTTTAGTAGTTTCTCACTTTCTTCACACAATCTCTTACTCTTATAAAATAGAGTCTTCATTATGGCTTCATGAACTATGATTATGTTTAGGAAATTTCTACTTGAGAAAGCTTCACCATGACGCACCAACATGTTAAGATTATGATTCAGTGCTCTATAGTCTTTTCTTGGGAGCAGCATATTCATAGTCTCTTCATCTTGATCACTCTCGTCATCGGAAAGTAAAGGAGCTAACTCTGACAATAGCTTCAAAAGAATTATTATTAGGCTGGACGGAATGGTTGTCGGGAAGACCCGCGGGAAGCCTCCCACTCGGCGGAACAATGCAGCGGGGATGGGTTGCACGGGAATGATGGAAGGGAGCCTCTCCCACATTCTCTCTCCTTTCATGATTGGCTGAAGTAATTTTTTTTATTTTATGAATGAGCCGTTGATTAACGGTAATATACACACACACACACACACACCCACACACACACACACACCCACAAACGACTAAATGCATTTAACACCAATATTTTCTTTTGTTTTTTAACCTTTTTAAACACCTATAAATACACAACTATTTGTCATCAAACAACATTAAAAAAAACCCTCTATTCTCTCTATTTTGTTCTAAAAAAAAATTCCCGACAATCAAACCCCAACTTGTGATCGAAGGAAAAAAAGCCATGGTTCGAGTTTCAACATCCCTTCTCGAAACATTTTTGCTATTGATTTGTCACCACAAGGAGTTTATCGGCCCCAACTCAATGCTCTCATTCAATCCCCACTATAATTCCAATATCAAAATGTTGGACAATATTACCCGATCCAAGTTCCAAATGTTTCACCTCAAATGTGTTCAAACTTTGTTGTGTTTCCGGATCAACAATCGCCAAATCAACCCCAACCCCAGACCCAAACTCAAATTTAAACCCAAACCTAACAACATCGCGAAGAGAAAGGGAAAAGGGACTTCTTCGGGTGCATCTGGTTTCAGCATGGACGTTGACGAAATGCAGAAAATAACAACGTCGTTTGATCGATATAATCTTAATTTTTCCGAACATTTGGCTTTTAACAAAAAAAGAAGAAGCAAGGAAAAAGGAGCGGGTGGAGAGACAAGAAATGGAGGATATGAAGTTTTTGATGGAAAACACCGATCATCTCTCGGGATCGGCTCTCAAGCTCGTGATGATGAAGAGGGAAAAAATTCTGAAAAAATATTTTTCATTGGTCGTTGTTGGTTTGTTTGATTTTTAGTTTGTGTTTATTTATTTATTTATTTATTTTTATTTTGTAGTATTTAAAATTTTAGGTTTGTTGTAATTTTTATTTTAATTAATGAAATGCATTTTCTTTCTAATTAAATTTTTTGGTTATTTTTAATCTAAAAATTATAAATCATAAAAATTCAACTAATTTTATTAAAAAAAAAATAGTGAGGGAAGCCCTTCCCACGCATTCCTTGGGTTTTAGGTGAGGGAGAGAAAAGTAGGGGAAATGAGGGTATGACCCACAAAAAGTGACAGAAACTTCTTTCCCATACCCTCCAGTCTTATCCTCCAAAACAACATCATCATCAAGAATATTTGCATATCCCCCCACAAACATGGTCATCATTTTGAGCATGAGTACCTAAAGGTTAAGATAATGACATTGAGGTTAGAATTGTAGTGTCTAAAATAACAATTAAAGAATCAACAACCAGAGTAGTTGAAGAAATGGTTATTGTTGTTGTGGTTCTGATATGAGGTGTAACAATGGTAGTTGTGATAGGTGTAATGGTTGATGGAGTAAAAATTGGTGTGGTTCGAGGTAATTAATAAATGATTAGTTGAATTGTGATAGGTTGTGTAGTAGGAATGGATTGAATGGTAAGAATTGGTGGTATAACAGGAGATTGGTATTGGGATATTGGTTTTTTTTGGAGTTGCAAGAGTAGTAGTAGGTATCGGAATGAAAGATACCTAAGAACCCTACAAGCATTTGGACCTGGAGTCGTAATTGTAGCTTGTTGCTCAGTAGACTTGGGTAGTTCTGTTGACTTCTTTGTTTTGAAAATCAATCTTCAAAAAAACATCACTACCTGTATTTTTATTAAATCCATCAATCTATTTATCAAAAAGCAAAGGCTTCGCTTTCATTTCGAGTAATTGCTACTTCTTGGGTTTCACAACAACTTCTTCTATCATCAATGATTTCTTGTAACTCAACATGAATGTTCCTTCTATAAAACTTTAGAATCTACTTGTAAATATTTAGAGCTTCATTATTCCGAGGAACCTTTACAAGAATCACTTCTAGAATTGAACTAACGTAAAAAAATTGGCATCTAGAGGATATACGAGATTCACAATGTTCATCTTTAGAAATTTAGCAATGCAAACATCCTGCATTTGTGGTACCCTGTAATGATATCCTACATGCTTAACCACACTCGACCAAAATTTGGCACCTGGGATTTTTGTATCCTTTTTTGAAGAAGATGAACTCACACATAATTGAATCCATAAGACTTGACGAAGGTCAATCTTCTCATCTATGTAAATTCCGTACATCAACGAATGAAATAATTATCTTGCATTATCTAATAAAGTTGTCCTCTCCAAAAAAAATAAAAATAAAGAATATTGTGAACATTGCGCTCCACACCACTAGCAAAGACGATTTATTAAACCTTGAAAATTGAGTTAAAATAGGAGAATACACCATCTGATGAAGTACATTGAACATGCTTGAAGACGAAATATGTTCAAAATTAGAGTAAGCATCAAATTGGATTTGAACCAGCACCTTGAAATTGCAGACTTGTGGCCTTGGATTTCTAAACTCATCAAATCCTTCGATTTGTTGTAAGTGGTAGTGTAGTAATCTAAAATAGAAGTCCATAATGAAACATCCTCATAGTTAATAAGAGCCTTCTTCAAAGATGAATGATTGAGACATTCAATAAATGGATGAGAAGCCACATGGTATTTGGAATAATAGAGATGAAAAACCAAGTTTTGATTTACCTAACAATTAGTGTAATAGAGAATGAAAACGGATCCGTGAATGAAATATGATTAATTGCGACAACCATTCTTGATACTTAGGTTGAACACGAATAGAACCTAAGGATTTGAAGGATTTCTTGGAATTTCGTGGGAGTATTATGAGTGCTGAAATAGATAAATGGCTATTTTTACAGATATAGATATCAAACAGTTTAAAATTGAAATAAAAAATACCCGAAATTAGTGGAGAGAAAAACTTCCAAATACATGCATACATCAAAATAACAATCTTGCAACTCAGACTCATCATCACATTTGTAATGGCCCACTCACAACATTCCATCTAATCATTCTTGTAACAGAAATGAAACATTTGTATTTCATAATTTTCATAAAGACACTTTCGTAGTCATAAGCGATGCGTCACCATCGGAATAACAAACACCATTGTAATAAGAGTCACCATCAGAATTGGAATCATTTTCATTATATGACTGGCGTTCGTAACAAGAAACAGGGTAAGTATTTTGGTGTTACAAGCACAATCATGTTATCAATGATTGGTATCTTAAAAAACAAGGTCTATAAAACTTATTTCAAGTTGGAATTAACTTAAAACCTCAAGGGTTTTAAGTGATCTATTGTGAAGTGCTTAAAAATAGAAAGAAGTAGGTATTTTAAACTTAGATAAGTTCCTTTACAGAATTTGTTGGGGTTACTCATCATAAGAGCCTTTTCTTTAGTAGTGAACACTTCATCAACATAAGATCCTTTACTCAGCCTAAGAGCCTTTTCTTGGGGTTACTCAGCATAAGAGCCTTTTCTTTAGTAGTGAACACTTCATTAGTAGCATCAGAATTTGAATCAATAACAATAATATTCTCCTTGGACTTATTCACCACCACAAGTTCCTCATTCGCAACGAATAACAAAGGACATGCATCAGCAATTTGTTGGATTAGTGTCTAAGTCCATAACTATTTTGGTATGTACTTGACCCAATGGTGCATGGTCCTTTTAAGTTGCTTTCACCAAAGCAACTTGATAGGATGAATTATGGAGAGAAAGGATTAAATATGATTTAATAATATATTATGAGAAGAGTATATTAAAGGAGAAATCATATTGTTTAATTAATATTAGTCAATAATTAATTGGTAATTAGTTTTCTGACTAAAAGAGATTAATTAAACTTAAGGGAATGAAATTGTAATTATAAGATAATTATAATTTGGGCCATGGATTGCCTTATATTAAGGGGTGGACGAATTCTATGGGGGAAGCCCATATAAAATCGTCCAAGGCTTAAGGAAAGGGCTCCATGGGTTGCTTAGGGCTTAAGCATCCAAATTAGGGTTTCCTTGTTAGATAACCGTAATAGCCCAACTATATAAAGACCCCTTAAGGCTAAAAAACGTGGCTAAGCTTTGTGTTAGGGTTTCACACGGTTTTTAGCAGTCTCGAACCTCTCTCCTCTTCATCCTCTTGCTTATGGTGTTTGTGAACCATTAGAGGAGTAACACTTTTGACTCTAAGCCTTCCAAAGTCAATTCAAGGAGGAATTAGGATTGTTATTGCTACATAACAATCAAGGTAATATCTTAAACCTAATTATATGTTAATATCGATTTCCATATGCTAGAATTAGGGTTTATAGTCTTGGATTCAAAGCATGTACAATAGAGAAACCTAGATCCAAGCTTTAGGATTTGTATGAGCACATAGGATGTCTTATGACCAAAACCCATCAGTGGTATAAGAGCCTAGGATGGTTTCAATTGTATTGATGCATTGTATATCTAAAAAATTCGTTTTTTTGGTGTTCTAGAGGCTGGACTCGCCGAGTCCATAGCTGAACTCGCCGAGTCTAGGGTGACTCGACGAGTCTAGGCTTGACTCGACGAGTCAACTCGTCAGATAGTGCTTATCTCGGGATTTCTTGCTGTTTTTGCATATGGATAGTTACCTTATCATGTTAGATCAATATTAATCCGATTATATGATATATTTGACTATATTTTTGATCTAATTGAAGATATTTATCAATCAATAAGATAATTGTTTCCTTATAAGATAATTGATTAATTATTTTGAGTAAATTGATAAATTGTTTTGCAAGAAATCATCAAACAAATCAAATATGGATAATTATGTAATTAAATGTTAGTTTACATTATTTGTTATTTGATCCTTGTTGTTATGAAAAGTTTCATATTTTACCCTTTAGGTTTTATAGTTTAAATTTGAACCCAAAGGTTTTGTTGTTGTGAAATTTAAATAATTGAAACCCTAATATTTTTGAAATGTTTCAAAACTTGCCGTCAAGTTTTGGAATTTAAAAGTTGATTAAAAGGTAATTAGGAATGTTAAATTCTAAAACCCTAGTAATGTTTT